TTTTTTTGCCCTTCGCAGGGCTGATGGAAATCCTTCCGGAGCGCTGCGTCCAGATTGCCAAGAGGGAGCTGCTCTACACGGGGCCAGTGGGATTGGTCATCTACCTGGGTGGGATCATCTTCATCAACCGGAAGAGAACCGGCACCGCCAAGTCCGTGATGTCCGGAGTCGGCCAGACCATGACCAATGAGAACGTGAGTGCGGGGACAGGGGTGGGATTCAAATTTCTTAACAACCGGTTCTGTGAGCGTAGCCTAGTTTATGGGTGTGGCTTGGTGATCATGCGACAGGGTGGGCATGGTGTGTATGTAAATATAAATATTTATGTAAATATTGAATTTTTTTTATTAAAAAAGAGCATTTTTTACCCCAAAATCAGGCAAAGCAGGCAGGCAGATTGAGTTGCTCACAGAATCACAGATTCACTCAGAGATCTACCTTTCTGCCATCTGCTACCTGAGTCTGCACTGAAAAATAGAAGCTTCGGTCCTAAGGAAGGTTCAGCTCTGCTTTTAGATTAGCTAGAAAGCAAGAAATGCAATGATTTCCTGCTTTCTAGCTAATCTAAATCTCCCAGCACAGCAGAACAGCTGATGGTTGGGGGGAAAAAAAAGGAAAAATAGCAACTTACCAAAGGCAGGCAAGTTTTGATGGCGCGCATGCCAGGTAAGGAGTGAGTTGGCAGGGTGGGGCAGGACCAGACAGTGGCGCAATTTGCCAGTTCTCCAAACTGCGCAGAATCATAACAATCAGTTCTATAGAACCGGTCCGACCAGGTAGAATCCCACCCCTTTGTGGGGGGCCGAGCGGTCAGCTGCCACCCCTGGCTTGGTCCCTCTGGAATCAGATTTTGGCCACTCAGCTTGTATGCTAGACGAGGCAAAACGGGACTGGGTGTCAATTTTGGTGAGAACTGAGCCTTTGTGTTGACACATCATTTGTGAAGCCACCATTGCTTTATGGGTAGTCCTCGGCTTATGGCAGTTTATTTAGTGACTGTTTGAAGTTAACCTGCCACCGTTGAAAAAAGTGACTTATAGCACTTAGCACTTAGATTTATATACAGTGCTTTACAGCCCATTCTAAGTGGTTTACAGAGTCAGTCTATCGCCCCGAAAAATTTGAGTTCTCATTTTACCAACTTCGAAAGGATGGAAGGCGGAGTCAACCTTGAGCCACTGAGATTTGAACAGTGTGTGGCGGCAGCCAAAGAAGCCAATGCAATCCTAAGTTGCATTAACAGAGGGATGCAATCAAGATCAAGGGAGGTACTAATACCACTCTACAAAGCCTTAGTAAGGCCACACCTAGGGTACTGCATCCAGTTTTGGTCACCACACTATAAAAAAGACGTTGAGACTAGAAAAAGTGCAGAGAAGAGCAACCTGGATGATGAGGGGACTGGAGGCTAAAACATACGATGAACAGTTGCAGGAACTGGGCCTGGCTAGTCTAGTGAAGAGAAGGACCAGGGGAGACAGGAGAGCAGCCTTCCGGTATTTGAGGGGCTGCCACAGAGGAGGGGGAGCCAAGCTATTTTCCAAGGCACCCAAGGAAGAATGGATGGAAACTGATCGAGGAGAGATTCAACCTAAAAATAAGGAGGAGTTTCCTGACAGTGAGAAAAATCCACCAATGGAACAGAAGTTGCCTTCAAAGGTTGTGGGAGCTTCATCCCTGGAGGCTTTCAAGAAGAGACTGGACTGCCATCTATCAGAAATGGTGTAGGATTGCCTGCTTGGGGGGGGGGGGGGTTGGACTCAATGACCTACAAGGTCCCTTCCAACTCTGTCATTTGGTTCTTCTGACTTAGCATTGTGAAGGCATCTCAAAAGGATCTCCTACTGGGATTTTCACTAAGAACCTCAGGAATCCAGTCATTGCTTTGTCCCAATAAGGCTCTAGGATTCTAAGTTGGAGAAGTAGATATGTCTCAGCTGAAGCAGCCAGATGTGCCACCTTGTCTAGACAGGCCTGGTTGAGTGAATTGTTGCCTTCTGAAAGGGTGGCTGGATGTGCTCCTCCCCTACCCAAAAGTTAAGCAAGAAAGTTAAAAGACCTGACAAGTTACTTTGGCGAGATCATATGGGATTTATTTTATCAATGGTTGGAAAACAACTATGGAAGTTAGAAATTAAAGAAGACTAGCACAAAATAGTAAATATGTGGTAAGAATTAAAAATGTTAAGATGGGGAATGTTAGAAGAATTAGATATATGATGTAGATTAGTATTAAGTAAGAATAGAGTATTAAAGTTAAGCAACGAATATGTATAAACTATAATGGTTATTGCACAAGGCATCTATGCCCACACGCTGTTCAAATGAAAGATGGAATGTTTGTATAAATAAAATAAATAAATAAATAAATAAAATATATGTATGTATGTATGTATGTATGTATTTATGTATATATGTATATATGTATATATGTATATATGTATATATGTATATATGTATATATGTATATATGTATATATGTATATATGTATATATATATGTTTTCTTATTTGCTTTCTTGATGATGGCAGATGAGATTCTGCCGAAATGTTGCCACAACTTTAAAAGCACAACTACAATGACGTGGGAAAATACCCGAACAAAGCTGAATACCATACATGTTTTCTTATATATGTAAAGATCCTTTGGCAAGATCCATATGCATTTTAAGCCCTAGAGCGGCCGTAGGAGTGACTGATGAAATCATAAAAGTTCTCTCTTCTTTGCAAAGTGTGCATTTTTTAACCTCTTAATTATTTGCACTTATTTGCAAAGCAAGTGGAACTTCTAAGGCCATGTTGGGACTCTCATCTTACCTATTTTAATCCGGTTCATACAGCCTGGGTCTTTGGATACCGAAACAACATTTGAGACCCAATCATCCTGAAATTTATACACACACAGTTTCCTTGCACACACAGTGTCAGATCCGTGTATCTGTCATTTCTTCAATGGAAGAAGAAAAGGGGGGGGGTTCACCCTGCTGATGGAACAGCTGTCTTGCCCCAGAAGTAGAAAAGCCTTTGTGTTTTTGGCGCCGCTAAGGGTACCTGGAGTTGTTGCCAGCTAAACTTAACTGTGAAGGGAATAAGGCAACTGACCAAGTGGCAGAAGGCCAACTTGGAGGAAGCCGATCCCAGGCTGGTTGCAAGCTTTCATGTGCCTTTCCTGGACTTTGATCTGATCTGATCTGATCTGTGCCAGGGTACTATCTGTTCCTGACCTGAGCTCCCAAAGACATTTGGAAGCAATCCAGTCCAAATAACTTCCAAGAAAAAGCTAGCATTTGAATACCGCTTTCCAAACACTCCAAGAGTGCTTCGGCTATTTTCTTTCCTAATCGGTCTCAAACGCCTCTGGCTCCTTGGAACAAGAACAGCCCAGCAGATACAAAACGTGCCAGTGATTTTGCTGGCCAGGTAGAAATTGGATCTGTTGATTTTTAGAGCACTTTAAATTTCTGGTTGTCCTGAAGAGCTTCAGATTAACTTCCTGTTCTCAGTAACTTGGGAGACCAAAGTGGAAGATAGAACATAAAACAGAAGAATAGCGCTGGAGTTTTGAGGTCTTCTACTCCAACAGCCTGCCCATAGCAGGACCCTGTACCAGTGGTGGCTAACCTTTTTGGGCTCCTGTGCCAAAAATTGTGTGTGCGCACCCAGAAGGCAATGCGAGCAGCCCCCCCCCACACCCCCTGCACATGCACACGCGATTCCACCCTTGCCCCCTTACCTGCACTGCACCTCCCAGCTGATTTTTGGCCCATTTGAGGCCTTTTTCGGCCTCTCAGAGGCTTGAGGGAAGACTCTGCAGCCTTTGCAGGCCGGAAAAAAAGGCCCGTTTTGTCACTTCATATATTTCCAGAAATACCGGAAGTGACAAAACGGGCCTATTTTTTCGGCCTGCAAAGGCTGCAGAGTCTTCCCTCAAGCCTCTGGCAGGCCGAAAAAGGCCTCAAACAGGCTGAAAATCAGCCGGGATGGGCACGCTTGCACAGTAAGGTAAGTTTGCCTGGGGCATGCCATAGGTTCACCATTACGAACCATTTCAGACAAGTGCTTGGCCAATCTCTTAAGAGCCTCCAGTGATGGAGCACCTACATCTTCTGAAGTCAAGCTGCTCCAATCGTTAAATTGTCCTGTTAGGAAGTTTCTCCTTAGTTCTAGGTTGCTTCTCCCCTTCATCAGTTTCCACCTATTGTTTCTTATCCTGCCTTCAGGTGCTTTGGAAAATAACTTGACCCCCTCCTCTTTGAAGCATCCCCTCAAATACTGCGATAAAGCTACCACATCTCCCTTAATCCTTCTTTTCTCTAGACCAGCCAAACCCAAATCCTGCAACCATTCTTCATACATTTTAGTCTCCAGGCCTTTCACCTTTTTAGTTGCTCTTTGCACTTTTTGCAAAGTCTCAACATCTTGTTTGTAACATGGTGACGAAAAGTGGATGCAGGATTCCAGGTGTGGCTTTATAAAGTGGTACTTGATGTTGATTCAATGCCTCTGTTTATACACCCCAGGATTGTATTAGCATTTTTTGGCTGCTAGTCATGTTTAAGTGATCGTCCGCTACAGTGATAGGATTCAATTTTTTTTAACTACCGGTTCTGTGGGCGTGGCAGGGGAAGGATACTGCAAAATCCCCATTCCCTCCCCACCCCACTAACCTGCTTTCCAGCTCCCTTCCCCTGTGCAGGGCAACCAAAGGAGACCCAGCCAATCAACTGGGACTCAATGGGAGGCAGGGAATAGATGGGGTTGGCAGGGCCAGTCAGAGGTGGGATTGGCCGGTTCTCCAAACAACTCAAAAATTCCGCTACTGGTTCTTCAGAACCGGTCAGAAATGGCTGATTCCTACCTTTGGTCCACTTGGACTCTAAGGTCCCTCTCCCAGTTACTGTTTTTGAGCCAGGTTTCACCTAATCTGTACGTGTCTCTTTGGTTTTTCTGGCCCAGGTGCAAAACCTTGCTCTTCTCCACATTAAATTTCATATGGTTGGATAAGGGCCCGTTGTTCAAGTCTGTCGAGATCTTTTTGGATCCTGAGCTTATATCGCTTTGGATCCCTAAAAGGCAGTCCTGCATTCCGCCCTCAAAAACATTACTGTATATATTTGCATGTAGCAATTTTTGTTTTGTGTCGAATAGTGTGCGGGCGTTCTCAACCTCACTTCGTTGCGCTTTCCTTGGGGCTC